TGAGCCAGGAGAATGGCGTGAACCCGGGAGGCGGAGCTTGCAGTGAGCTGAGATCCGGCCACTGCACTCCAGCCTGGGTGACAGAGCTAGACTCCGTCTCAAAAAAAAAAAAAAAGAAAAATTTTTTTTAAAAACTGCATTAACTGAAAATTTAAAACATAATCAGTCAGGGCTAGATTAAATTGTCATTAATCCCTGTTAAAGAATCTTATATCCCAACAGCTAGGTCTGTTGCACTATGCATCATCTCTTTTTTTTGAGACAAAATCTCACCCTGTCGCCCAGGCTGGAGTGCAGCAGCGTGATCTTGGCTCACTGCAACCTCCGCCTCCCAGCGTCAAGCGATTCTCCTGCCTTAGCCTCCCAAGTAGTTAGGATTACAGGCATGTGCCACCACACCCAGCTAATTTTTTGTATCTTTAGTAGAGACAGGGTTTCACCATGTTGACCAGGCTGGTCTCGAACTCCTGACCTCGTGATCTGCCCATCTCGGCCTCCCAAAGTGCTGGGATTGCAGGTGTGAGCCACTGTGCCCGGCCTGCATCATCTCTTTAGACAAATAACTTTTTGCATCCTAGTAGTAAAGAATGTTAATATTCTTAATATACTTGAACCTAAATTTATTATCACTAAATATTTGATAGAGTATGATTGTTTAATAAACTGTATTTTGGAATTATTTTAGATTTGCTAATCTAATGTGATAAGAATTCTTTGAAAAGAAAATTTTTCTTTTTTATTCTATAGTTAAAAAAAACTGAAAACATTTCATATGAAATGCTTTTTGAACCTGAGCCAAATGGAGTAAATTCTGTGGAAATGATGGATAAAGAAAGAAACAAAGAAAAAATGCCTGAGGATGTTACATTCAGGTAATATTTAAGAAGAGCAAAGGAATCATTCACAAAATTGTATAACTGCTTAAAAATGGTGAACTTTAGAGTCAAAAGTACTGGATTTCAGCCCCAGCTTAGCTAGCTAAGAGCTATACAATCTTGAGCAAGTTATATAACCTCTTAAACTACGCATTCCTCACTTGTAAAAATGGCAATAGGGCTGGCTGCACTGGTGCACATCTATAATTCCAGCACTTTGAAAGGCCAAGGCAGGAGGATCACCTGAGCCCAGGAATTCAAGACCAGCCTGGGCAATGTAATTAGACCTCATCTCTGAAAAAAAAATTAGCCAGGCATGGTGGCATGTGCCTGTAGTCCTGGCTACTCGGAGGCTGAGGTGAGAGGATCACTTCAGCCTAGGAGTTCGAGGCTGCAGTGACCCGTGATTGTGCCAGTATACTCCAGCCTGGGCAACAGAGTGAGACGCTATCTCCAAAAAAAAAAAAAAAAAAAAAGGCATAATAGCAGTATCTGACAGGTATATTGTAAAGATTAATATGAAAACACATGTGGCAGGGAGCAGTGGCTCCCAGCACTTTGGGAGGCCAATGGGGGCCAATCACTCGAAGTCAGGAGTTTGAGACTAGCCTGGCCAACATGGTAAAACCCTGTCTCTACTAAAAGTACAAAAATTAGCCAGACATAATGGTGCATGCCTGTGGTCCCAGCTACTTGGGAGGCTGAGGCAGGAGAAATGCTTGAACCCAGGAGGCAGAGGTTGCAGTGAGCTGAGATCACACCACTGCATTCCAGCCTGGGTGACAGAGTGAAACTCCATCTCAAAAGAAAAGGAAAAAAAAAAGAAAAAGAAAATACATGTATAGCACTTAACACTGTGCTTAGCACCCAGGAAGTATTCAATAAATGATACTTCACTCCAGGTGCCTGCCTGTAGTTGCAGCTACTCAGGAAACTGAGGTGGGAGGATTGCTTGAACCTGGGAGGGCAAGGCTACAGTGAGCCATAATCACGTCACTGCACTGTAGCCTGGGCAACAGAGCAAGACCCTGTCTCAAAAAAAATTTTTTAAAGAGAGATAAATACCTTAAAAAAAAAAAGTCAAAAGGCATATAAGCTGTGGCAGAGTAAGCAGTTTAGCACTGTCTATACAGTAGGCCCTCCATATCCATGGACTCAGAACCCATGGATATGGAGGGCCAACTGTACTATGCCATTTGATATAAAGGACTTGAGCATCTGCAGATTTTGCTACCTGTAGCGGGTCCTGAAATCAATCTTCCCAGGTAATGATTGACAGTGGTCAAAATTCTAAGCTGTCTCATAAGAGTTCCAGAAATTATGGTGATTTTCTTTTTCCTTTTAGCTATATTTCTTTTTTTTTTTTTTTTTTTTTTTGAGACAGTCTCGCTCTGTCACCATGGCCGGAGTGCAGTGGCGCAATCTCAGCTCACTGCACTTGGTTCCCAGAGGGGAACCTCCGCCTCCCAGGTTCAGGCGATTCTTCTGCCTCAGCCTCCTAAGTAGCTCGGACTACAGGCACCCACCACCACACACGGCTAATTTTTTTTTTTTTTTTTTTTTTTTTGTATTTTTAGTAGAGACGGGGTTTCACCATGTTAGCCAGGATGGTCTCGATCTCGTGAGCTGACCTCATGATCCGCCCGCCTCGGCCTCCCAGAGTGCTGGGATTACAGGCATGAGCCATTGTGTCTGGCCATCTTTTAGCTGTCTTTTTTTT